ACTTTTGTGTTTGGTTTGGAATCTTTGAATATATTCTAGATCAGCAGATCAGAACGAGCCTCATAAAACTCAGCTTCTATTAGAGCTGAAGTCTTTAAAAATTCGTTTAGGTTTTTTCGGGGAATATTCTGGGCATAATTATAGAAATATGATATATATTTGACTTCTCTACTTTATGCTATATCTCTGAGAAACTAATCAATCGAAAATTCAATTGAAAAAAGCTTTGTAATTCCATTTCGTACACTATTTTCTCTCAGTGCATTGGCTGCCTGCAGCAATTGTTACAAATTACTGTCGCTTGTTTAACGAGTCCATGTCCAGTTTACAATCTACCTGCCAATTCATTTAATCAGCTGGCAAATGTATTGTCACACTGACATGACGTATTGATAGGGTTCTCTTTTTTCAAGTGAGACGTTTGTCTAGATTACACCTCCAAGCACACACACACGCACACACAATTGCAATTTAGTTTGCGTCAGTAACTTAATTTGCAATACGAAATCGATTTCCGTTTAAAATGTCGCCAAAAGCTGAAAAATAAACGACGCGCAAATGGAAATTGCAAAGAGCAACAGAGTGGGGAGAGGGCTGAATAAATGGAGAGAGAAAGTGGCAGAGAGTGGGGCTTGCAACTGTGAAGCTTCAGGGCCAGGGCCAGGGCCATGGCTAGTTGGCTGGGCGCCGACTCCGCTGCTGCACAAAAGGTCACGGTCATACGCCGTGTGGGCCCGGCCCTGGCACTGGCCCAGGCCCAGACCCGGGCCCGGGCCCTAGTCAAGGCCCTGGCCATAAACAAAGTTGCAGATAGTTTTTTTTTATAGTGAGAAAACGAGCGGGTTGAGTAGACAACGAGAGAGAGAAAGAGACTTGGAGTCAACAGGCAACTTTGATTTGTCAGCTTTGCGGCTTTTGATAATGTGCCTCATTTTGTGGCATTTGTATGCGAGTCGCGTGTTGATTGATTTATTCGGCTGCAGTTGCTGACGGGGCGGCGCCTGTGACACCTCTGACATCTCAGCTGGCAAGCGGCCCAAGAGTTTTAATTACACCCTGTTCAGAATGACAAAAGGAGCAGTTCTGTGCAATGTTCATCTGGCTGAGAGGCAGCCGGAAAGCAAACTTAAGATTTGCAACTTTTCATAAAGCCCTTTAAATTCTAAGAAGAAGAAAACTCTTCACGACTTGCTTTAGCACTGTGTAAACAGAGTATTTGGCAGTCGTTCATATTTGTTGTCGTTCGTTTTTTCTTAACCTAAAACAACATCCTTATCAGCGCCATTCCATGATCATCAAACATTTTTCTGGCAGTTCGCTTTCCAATCGCACTTTGTTTACACTACAAATTGATTAGATTCGTGGCTTTTGCATGTGATTTTTATGCGATTTTTCAAACGCCTTTTGTTTAGATCATAAAAGTTGATTCATTTTGCCCATTTTGTGTTTTCTTGCCGGCTGTTTATTGACATCGAAATGGCTTTGTTTATTTTGAGTAGATTGGGTGGGGTTCGGTAAAAACTACTCTACATTCTGATAAGCTAAACTGTTATAAACAATTTGTAAAGAGGGCCAAGTAGATGCTAAATGTTATATCAAGCCTTAAATAACTGTTATAGCCAGCAAATTACTTTTTTATAAGCACCTTTTTTGTGGCTGAGTGCTGTAAACAAGGTTGTTACAAGTGTTGTATAACAGTTTAATGCACTTCAACTGTTATCAAATTGTTATACGCCACTTCTTTGGGTCAATTTTAACACTAACTACGTGCCCTGCAACTGGCATACCGCTCTGTACAGCTGTTATACGGAGGTCTTCAGACTGTCAAGTTTAAGCAAAGCGCACTACTCTTACACTGTTATACTCAACTGTCAAACATAACCGCTGTATCATTTAACCTTGCTCTCTTAACTGTCATACTGTTTTACGAAACTTTTATACTATAACTTTCTGTTGCACACAATGTATATCATTTTATTTAACTGCTTCACTGTTATACTCAAGTCTGATAGATAACTTCTGTTATACAAATCAGCATATTAATCACACATAATGCTCATATAACAGTTATTGTCCCTGTGCTACGGCAGTTGCAAATGCTATATCAAAGCTAAAAACACTCGAGTGACATTTAAATGCAACTCAATCTATTCGCTGTGCAACCAGTTGTGGCAAGTTTATTCACATTGACGTCACCAGCAGTCAGCAGCAGCAGCAGCAGCAGTTATTCAAAGCTACCGAGATGGGCATTACTTTTTGTCGAGTGCAATTCACAAATGCAATTTACCAGTTGCAGCTGTTGGGCGGGGCAGTGCGGACCGTGAACACGGACGAGCTTAAATAGTTGCGTGTTATTTTTGTTTTTTTTTTTGTGTTGCTGTTTTCTATTTGTCGTCCCGAAACGAACTTTGAGCTGCCAAAAATAGATAAACGGGCAGCTGAAGCAATGGTGAAGCTTTAGTTACCGCCTACGTGGAGAGCTGACTTTTGACATATACAGCAGCAAAAGTCAGCATCCATCCCAGATGACGCACATTGCCGGAGTTGCTGTTGCTGGTGGTGCAGCTGGCGGTGGGCGGGTGTCCAGGGCGTGGTTGAGTGCAAAAAGCTTCTATTACGGTTTTAATGACCGTTTTGCGTGTGCAGGCGGTGAATGTTGGCTTATTGCTTATTATGAAAAACCGTTGCCCTGATATACCAACTGTTATACTGATGCAAACAAACCCCTATGCGCTTGTATACACTGCTATACTTTTTTAGAACCAATTAACTTAAATAATGTTGATAAACTAATACAGTTATAAACTGTATAAACTTTTCTACAAACAGTTGTATTCTTGATTAAACAGTTATAATTTAGTGCAAAATGGTGATATTGCTATACAAAAGTGTTATATTGATGAAATTTTATATATATCTAATGACAAAATTGCCTATGAAAACCCGCTGCTTTGTTATACCAACTGTTATACTACTGTGTACAAACCCCTATACTATTGTAAACACTGTTATATTATTGTTTGAATTTATAAACCAATACAATTTTACATAAACTGTTCTACAAACTATTGTAATGTTATACAAATGGTGATACTGCTATGCAAAACTGTTATACTAATAAAAATACAATCATCGGATCGCAGGAACAAGTCAAACTGGATGCCAGCAAACAGGTTATCAGCCCAGACGATTGTGAGGATCTCAGTCCAATGCCACAAACAGCTGCACCGCCCGTTCGCCGGCGCGGCGGCATCTCTGCCGAGCCCGTAACCGAAGAGGACGCCGCCAACTATGTTAAGAAGGTCGTACCGAAGGATTACAAGACAATGAATGCCCTGTCCAAGGCCATAGCCAAAAATGTGCTCTTCGCTCATCTGGATGAGAGCGAACGCTCTGACATATTCGACGCCATGTTTCCTGTAACCCATACGGCCGGCGAGAATATCATACAGCAGGGCGACGAGGGCGACAATTTCTATGTCATCGATGTGGGTGAGGTGGACGTGAGTAGCCAAACTGAGCTCTTCCTGACAGAGAATTTGCTGATTTACAAACAAAAAAAAAAAAAAAAAATCCCTGAACTTTACAGGTTTTTGTCAACTCTGAACTGGTGACCACCATCAGTGAAGGCGGCAGCTTCGGTGAGCTGGCCCTCATCTATGGCACACCACGCGCCGCCACGGTGCGCGCCAAGAGCGATGTGAAGCTGTGGGGCATCGATCGTGACTCCTACAGACGCATTCTCATGGGCTCGACCATACGTAAGCGCAAAATGTATGAGGAGTTCCTGTCGCGTGTCTCCATACTGGAAAGCCTCGACAAGTGGGAGCGTCTAACTGTCGCCGATTCGCTGGAGACCTGCTCCTTTGAGGATGGCGAGACAATTGTGAAACAGGGCGCGGCTGGCGATGACTTTTACATTATTCTCGAGGGCTGTGCCGTTGTCCTTCAGCAGCGCTCCGAGGTGAGGGCTCCAACCTGAAGCAGATGAAGAAGAAGGAATGAAAAACAAAACTTTAATACATTGTCTGTATTCTAGCAGGGCGAAGAGCCCGCCGAGGTGGGTCGCCTGGGCTCCAGCGATTACTTTGGCGAGATTGCTCTGCTTCTGGATCGGCCACGCGCCGCAACTGTTGTGGCACGCGGCCCGCTCAAATGTGTCAAGCTGGACAGAGCGAGGTAAGACGGTTCATTCCGACTGACTGACTGACTGATTAACTGACGGATTGATGAGGAACGTATAGGCCAAAAAGTTAGAGCAGCATTTTCTACAGAAGTTAACTTATGTGATGTAAAGTAAACGCTTTGAGAGGGAAACGCCTACCGGAGGAGTGGAAAATTGTTGGAAAATGACTTGAAAAATATCATTTATATTTCGTTCAATAGGACTCATAATCAAGATTGTGTTCAAGGAAAAAGTGTTTTTTTAGTGATTTGGCTACGAACTTTAATTCAAATTTCTTCATAAGGAAAGCGTAAAGACGGTTGATTCTTGAAAATCTATGCCTCTGAGTGAACAAGTGAATTTTTAGCAGAATTTCTTCATAAAGGAACACAGACAAAGAAAGAAACATGCATTGAAACTAATTTGCAATCGGAAAATGGGTGAAAAACTTATAGCTAAAATGAGCAGAAAATCAACTGACTCGATTAAAGCTCGACAATACCAGCCAGACTTGGATATAATTTATATATATGTTAATTTCCTCATTAATTTGTTTTATTTATGCAGATTTGAGCGCGTTTTGGGCCCCTGCGCGGATATTCTGAAGCGCAACATAACGCAGTATAACAGTTTCGTTTCACTGTCTGTCTAAGCAGACAGCAGCAACAACAGCAACAACAAACAGCACACACACACACACACACACACACCACATCAACAACAAGAAGAAGAAGAACAACAACAACGCAGCTCGCATGCCAACAACAACAACCACAAAGCAAACTAAACTTAAAACTAAAACAAAACAAATTCAAAAGGAAAAGGAAAAAAGAAAAGCCAAAACTTAAATGTAGAAAAGCAAAAAACCTATGTAAAGCCCCAATTCAAAAAAAACAAAAAACAAAAATCTTGCAAGAATCCAGATTGAGTTGAGCTCAGCTGTGTGGCGCTTGCAAATGGGGCGTTGGGTGGGCGGGCTTGTGGAAAGTGGGCAAACGAGGGGGGGAGGCGCAAAATACCAATATGTTAATTACGTATATGAATTCTGTATGTTGTGCTGAAAGTTACATATGTATTTGCGTAATGTGTGTGTTAATTTGTGTAAAAGTTGCGGCATGTTCCCAACCAAAATTAACAAAAAAAAAAAATAATAATAAATAACAAGAACTTAACAAAATAAAAAAAACAAACCACCCGCAACTCGTCGCACTGAGCTTTTCAACTTTTGAGAACTTGTCAAAAAAAAAAAAAAATAAACAAAAGGAAAATGGAAAAAAGAAAACAAACAAAGAAAACAAAAGATATATAGAAACGCATTTCATATAACACTTTTTCTACGAGTACTGGTTGATATATACACATACACACACACACACACATCTTTATATATATATATATATAAATATCTACACAGAATTTCTTTATAAAGGAACATGCTGCCAGCGAAAACCAAAATAAGAAACATTTCATTTAAATATTCATTGGAGATCTGAATGTTTTTTACAGCAAAAACAAAAATAAAATATAAACAAAACATAAACATATTATATATAAACTTAAGATACCATACACACACACACACACACGCATGCTGAGTTAAAAAAAAAAAATATCAACAAATAGTCTAAACTATAATTTGTTTGTGTTGAACGAAAGCGAGCGGGCAACAGATAATTGTTTAAATATATTTAGTTAATTATTGTTTCAAAAATCGCATTGAAGTCAAATCGAAAAAGAAACACAACATTTTTAATTGATTAAAAAGCAACTGAAAGTCGTGCGTTTACAATATGTTTGTCATTTATTGTTTGATAACAAATATTTGCCTAGCCTTACCCTTAACTGTTATACAAACATAGCACACCATATATATTTTAACTGTTATACTCTGTTAAACACACGCCGCATAACCAAATGGCATTTTTCTAACAACTGCCACCAAAACACACACAAAAAAACAAAACAAAACAAAACAAGAAATTGTAAATTAATTTAAAAAGAAAAGAAAACAAATTAATTTAACTAAGGCTTGAGCGCAGCGCGTCCTGTGTGCAGTTGTATTTGTGTACTTTGCATACACACACACTACACACACACACACACACTACACACACAGCTGCAGCTGGCTCAAGCGCTAGGGATTCGTTTGTTTTTAGGCGGTTTGCGCAGTGTGCAAGCCACGCCCCCGCGCCAGAGAGCGCGTGCGAGTGTACCCGCCGGCGGGTTAGACTAAAGAGAGCGAAGCAAGCTAACAAAAGCTAAATGCTATGAAATTGCAAAATGAGAGCCGTAACGAGAGCGAGAGAGCGCATACAATTTAAAATAAAAAATATTATCAATGTAAAATCGTATGTACTATAAAGAGAAAAAACAAACAAAAACAAGAAAACAATACAAAAAAAAAAAAGCTAACAACAAACGAGCAAAAACAAAAAGCAGTAATAAATACATTTACATAGATGTTGCAAAAACAATGCGATATTTGAGGGGGTTGTAAGTGGGGGTTTGCCCCTTTTGTAAACAGCCTTTTTCCCCCCATATTATATAATCTAAATGTAAATAATCTTGAAATGTCTTTGTTGAACGACTTTACCGCTTGCTCCTATATATAATATTCGATATTGGAATCATAGTTTAAGATTTTGTTCACATCTTCGTAGCAGGCCGAGACTTGTATCCTATGAGATTTCTATTAACCTGATGATAGCTGTAAAACGGAGACAAGGTTGCATGGAACATCCAGACATGGCTATACCGACTACCGACTGTTGATTCTGATGACGTGTCGTGACAAAAGTATGATACCCTATTCAAGGGTATACAGATTTCACTTAAATATTTGTTGTAACGAGAACCCAAGCAGCCCTCTGTTCTAATGTTGCTGGACGCCATCATTTGGTTACCCACACTATTCACCTACATTGTGTTCCTGCTCATACTGATCATACTGTTCTTCATCGTGGCCTATGTCAGCCATAAGATCTACATATCCATCTATGATAATCTGCCGTTGCCGGCAGCGCCTGGCTCCCGATCCTCGGTGGCATTGCGTGAATATTCCCGTGACTTCTCGCGCCTGGAACATGTTGGCGCTCAGTTGAGCTCGCGCTCCGTGTGGATACATAATCGTTCAACAATCTTCGAGTCGCCGGTGGGTAAGTAGGTGTATATATACCAGTCCAGGCGCCGCTCAATTGGCTGACACGCAGTGCGCATCACATTGACTCTGGAGCCGTGCTTTCTGATCAGCGTCGCGCTGGACATCTACTCGGATCCGAACCAACGCGCGATCAGCTGCTTGTGCAATTGTAACGACAGCGACACCAAGTGCACCATGATGGCCGACCAGGCGGTGAGCAATGTCCGTGTGCTCAAGTACTACGATGATCTGGCCAGTGTGCCGCGGCTCAAGGTGCTGCTGCGCTGCAATGAGCGCAAGAATATGCGGCTTGTGCTGGACGATGTCATCAAGGATGTCATGGAGGCACGCTGCTCGGAAAATGCGTCCGCTTGCCCCACGCCCAGATAAAGGCGACCAACGGCGGGGCACAGAGAAAGAGAGTGTCAGAGAGAGTGAGGGCGAGAGAGAGAGAGAGAGAGACAGATGGACAGCTGCACAGTGGTTCGCATGTACTTATAATTGGGACTTTATTTTTGTAGAACTGGTTTTCTCTATATATTCTTTGTGTTGTTGTAAATGAAAAATATTCTAGGCATGGCTTTTGGTCTTGCCACCCGTTAAACAGGTTCAAATGTTGTCGCAAAGTCCAGAGCGCATTGAGCCGACGCTCGTCTGTACAGTGGTTCGGTTCGGGGTTCGAGCCAGCGTCTCGTCTTCGCTAGTTCGATTCATGGTTCGAGCCAGCGTCTCGCCTTAAAGTTCGCTTTTTGGGGTACAAGAAAATGTGCCCTGTTCTCATTATTTTTTTTAGAAAATACATTTTCTATCAACTGGGCAACGTTAAGAAGACAATCGTATGTTACATTTTATAGGTACAACTGGGACAAATATTCCATGCCTTATCTACTTTACTAAACATTTTTATCAGTTGCCCAGATAAGAGTCGAGCATTTGGTCGAATCACGTCGGCAACGACCCCCCCTCCCCCCTCTGGCAATTAGTTCGGCACAAGCCGCTAATTTTTTTCGACGCTATTCCAATTTTATTGTCAGTTGGCATTTTTATTCTCTGCTCATTTAATAAAGCAGAAACAAAAGCGACGTAGATTTAATTGCTTGATTGGCTGAATCAATGAATATGTTTGGCATTCAATGAATGTTCGCTATACGCATACCCTGTAGCTAGAGTATAGCCGCGAATGGGGTATTATAATGTTGGGTATAAATGGGCTTTATCAATAGATTTACTCTAAATTCTATAGGAATTTTTAGATTGACTGTCTGATAGAACTCGAAGATTGAAAGTGTTTGCAGATATATTATTTGATTTGCACAACTTGGCCTTATATGCTCATCCAAAATCTTTCTAAAATCGAACTATTATAGGATATATATAAATTATAATATATTATATTGTATGATATATCTAGCTCTTATAGAAAAGGCTCGTCAAATGCTAGGGTATCTAAGCTGCGACATTCCCCGCGTAGCTGTTATTTCGTCTTGTTGTTTTAATTATGGTACTGCACTTATATATATTTTTCGTCATCCACATATGCCGAATTTTAAATAGCTCTTTCTATAAATACTCGTGCTGCATTTACAAATTGAAATTTGTGCATATATATATATATATTTAGGTATACTTTCCGCCAGATCGGGGGCACTTTGGACCAGTCAAGAGAGTATCTCTCGTATTCGAGCTGACTCAGCACATTTGCATAGACTTCATTAAAACAACTATTAGATTTTTGGCACCCTTTGGACCTGGGCATAGAGTATCTGCTCTTCGAGCACTCTGCTCTTGGCTAGCTTGTCTAGTGTAAGATGTATATATATTCAATATTTTTATAACACGATGTGCACAGAGTCGGGTGCTTGGATGCAAACCACTTCGACCTGACCCTGGTTAATGTGGCAGGCGGCCTGGCCACTCATATTGGTGAAGCCAATAAACGAGTTTCAACAGAATGCTTATCATAGAGCGAACGAGTGCTACGCGGCGTATACGTAACACAAAGTTCTATTTGAAGTCGAGTCGCGGCACGCCAGTGTCTGGCCTCAGTTCAGGCACAGGTGTCAATGCACACGGTACGGAAAGTCGCCATCTCGATATATAAACCTACGTGTGAATTAAAATACATATATATATATCTATATATGTGTGCGACATTTAATTAGCATACGCGTTTCACTTCAGTTCTGTTTCGGTTCGACGCACACTCACATACTCTTTCTGTCTCTGCTTGGCCTGTCTCCGAATTGAACAGAAAACAAAAAGAAACAATACAATACAATTATAACAAATACAAGTTATTGAAACTCTCACAAAAACATAATGCTGGATCCCATATCGGATACACCGCTGGTGCTGGCCTACGTATTTATGTCGCTGCTGGTGCTGATTGTCTGCTTTATACTATTCAATGTGGTCCACAAGCTCTATCGCGGCATGGGCGCTGATGTTGGTGTGGGCGTGTCGAGCAGCTCGCTGAAGACAGCTATGCTGGAAGTGGATGTGATGAAAACCGGTTAGCTGGAACAACAACAACAACAACAACGACAACAACAACGCTGCTTGGCGAGAATCTCAACAGCAACAGCGAAAGCGACAAAAACAAAAACGCTGTGGCTTGTGGTTCAGAGCAGCTGCAACATTGTACATAAAGCCACTGTTTATAAAAATAATAGCATTTTAGCCTAGCCGTAAACTAGTACTTATACACGTATATATATATAATTAAGTTTTACACGTTAGGTTACTATAAAAAAATATATTTCAATTTATTATTTTCACTTAACGGCTACTTTTGTTGAGTACATTCAGATTTGCTTCCCGAATATGAACTGATTTATCTAACTGTTGCGGTCGCTTAGCAAACTTCGCTTTGAGAGAGTTTGAGTCAAAATTGAGTGAAGTTTGAGCTGCGTCAGCAATTATGCGTGGGATAGTACTCTGATGGGAACATTGACAGTGGCGTGATATTTAGGGTGAATTGTTTATGTCTACCAAAGGGGGACAGTTTGATCTTGACCAATGTCGATGTTATCACCAGGCTCTTTGTTTACAATATTAGAAATGTTTATAATTGTGCTTATGCTTATGTGCTAAGTTATGTTAAAGGGTGGGTGCGACTATGGATATGTCACTCCCCCAACCATTAGAAAAGTGCCTGTCCTCAGGTGTTTAAGTTTGGATATAGTGTAACATTTTCTTCTTTTACAATTGGTATATCTCCTATTATTGTAGGTGTTTCTTCTACTTTGGGTTTTTTATATTTTATAATTAATTTCTTAGGTATGCTTTTGAACTTATATGTCAAATACAGTGTTAAACTTATTAATATGATTACAAATATGGTTATTGTAATTATCTGGAATACATTGTTAAATTTTGTATGTGCATTTATAATTTGTTTCGTTTGTACAAACGAAAGTGGTTCTAATTTTATAACATCATTGCTTACGTAAATGCTTTGAGTATAATCTAACATATTGTTTGAAATTGAAATTTCATTAATTTGCAATGAACAATTAAAGATTTTTATTATATTGTTTCCTTCTATTGTTATTTCGTTATTTATACAATTATGGTTTAATATAGTTTTTGGTAAATTCCAAGTTAAAATTATATTTGGTTCTATGTAGTTGATTTGAAAATTTTGCAAAATTTTAGTATAACTACATTCTGATGTTATTTGGTTTAAAATTCCTGTTAAACATTCATTATTAATTAATTTTTTTGTTTCTCTGCTATAAACTTTTTTATCTTGGGTAAAATATTTTTCATGAGCTATTTCTGTCAAAATATTATTATTTTCATCCGGGTATGGAATTATTTCGAATACCGGGCTTTTTATTATTTCTCGAGGAATATGGGATATTATCAGTATTTCGTTTGTATCTGATTTAAACCAAGTGGAAGTTTTTGTATTCAACAATTTCTCAGAATTAACATGCAACAAATAGTCATGTTTTAGTAATTTTGGGTTAAAAATTCCTAATCTTGTGAGCTGCATTCCCATCTCAATGTCTTCTATATATTCTGTAAAGTGTTGTAAGTTAAATATAAGGATATCTAATTTCTTTCCTTTTTGTTTCTCTTGATCTAGTTCGTTCATGATTTCTATTCCTTTGTTTATAGCTTCTATTATATAATTTAATTCGTTAACCTGGACGCTGTTTTCTGCTAAGTTGCTTATTTTTTGTTCAATTTCTGCTTTGTCTTCTTGATCTAATGTTCCAAATAAGTATTTATATGCTGTTCCTACTATGTTAACTAAACCTCTTTTGCTGCGTTTGGCTATTTTTAAGCCGTTTATTTCTCTGTTTAATTTTTCTACTAGGTATTCGATTTGTATAAGGTTATTGAATTCTTTACTTTGTTCAATTAAATTGTTAAAAGTTTCTTCGGTTTTTGTTATATTAACCGTTAAACAGTGGAATTCGTAATCTGTCGGAATGTCTATGGTTCCTGTTTTAAATATGAGATATCCGTTATGGGCTTTGATAGGATTAATTTCAATACTCTGTGCATTTATATAGTTTACAGTTATTGATAGTAATATTATAATAATTAATTTAAGCTGGTGCTTGTATGTTTTGATCGCTGTCTGTTGTTGACCTGTAATTGTTATATTTGCTTTGATTAGTCTTCTTTTTCTTTTTGAATTTGGTTTTGTAATGTGTTATTTTCCTGCCTCTGTTAGTTTCCTCAAAATGTTTGTCGTCGATTTGTCTTAGTTCTCCTGTTTTCTTGAACGGGGTTGTCGTCTTTGATTTAACTAACGGTGAGTGTTTGTATCTAGTGTCAATTTCATAATTTGTTCGTTTTTTGTTGAGGTTATTTATTAGTTTTTCTTTATTAGCTTGAGTGTCATACTCTGGTGTACCTGCATATATGAATATGTCCGCTGGTGTTCTGTTAGTCGTTTTGTGCTTTGTTTTATGATTGTACGTGTAGAGTATAGTTTCAAATTTTGTAAGTTTATTTTCGACGTCTGAGTCGCTGTTAATGATTCTTAGTTTTTCGTTAACTGTCTTATGAAATCGTTCTACGTCGGATATACCATTTTTACTAGTGGTTATATTAATATTTACTGCTTCTGATTTTAGCCATAATTGTAAAGCTGTGCACATAAAAGCTGAGTCTTTGTCTGCCTTTATTTCGATGGGTTTACCCATTTGGTTGAACACTTGTAATATAGCTCGTTTGGTTTCTAGCCAGTCTCTACTTTTTATTTCTATTAATGATGCAAATTTTGAATAGATATCAATGCAAGATAAAAATTGTTTATCTCCTACTATGTAAAAATCCATTACATATTTTTCTCGGATATTAGCGATTTCCGGAGTTATTTCGAAAGTTAATTTTGTATCTCTGTGTTCTGTTTTTGCGATGTTGCAAATCTCACATTCATTTATTAGATTTTGAATTAAATTTTGATAATCTGGGAAATAGTGGGTTTCTTTGAACCAATTGATAGTTTTTTCAATTCCTGGATGTAATAATTCTTTGTGCTTTTTTAATATTAATTCTTTGAATTCTGCGTATGTTTGAAGGTCTATTAATTTTGTACTAGTTTTCATTGCCTTTGTTGAATTATTTGGACTTATTATTTCTAAGTAGGCTTCTTGAAAAATTGGAAAATCTGCTTCGTTGTGGAAGTATAGCACACTTTTCTTTGTGCATAAGTATTCTTTTATTAATTCTTTGGCATGCGTATTAGTCATGTCTTTGTACGTAATTTTTATGTTGGTTTTGTGAAAGTAATTCGTAACTTTTGTTTCGTTCTCGGTTCCTTTTTCAAATTCTATTTGTCGATTATAATAATTAAGTGGTCTTTCTGTGATTTGTAAATGGTTACTGTTGTCTTCTTGAGCACTATGTATTGTTGCTCTTGTGCTAATTGTATCTTCGCCTAAGAAGTTTTCGTTTAATTGAATTCTGGACAGAGCATCTGCCACATAATTTTCTTTTCCTGGGACGTATTTAATTTGGAAATCAAACTCATTTAGCTTGATCTTCCACCTTTGTAATTTCATGTTAGGTTCTTTCATATTATTTAACCAGACGAGTGGTCTGTGATCACTAAGGATTTGAAATTGTCGACCAAAGAGATAGGACCTAAAGTATTTAGTGGCCCAAACGATTGCTAATAATTCTTTTTCAATCGTTGAATAATTTAACTCATGCTCGTTGAGAGTTCTACTTGCATAGCATATAGGCTTATGCTCTTGCGAAAGGACGGCCCCTATTGCCATATTACTCGCGTCTGTAGTTAATGAAAATGGTTTTTCGAAGTTAGGGTATATTAAAATTGGGTCGGATGTTATGAGTACTTTTAGCTTTTCAAACGCTAGTTCGTAGTCTCTGTCTTTTATATTGATTTTTGCTCCCTTTTTTAATTTAAGTGTTAATGGTTTTACTATATTAGCGAAATTTGGTATAAATTTCCTATAGAAACCACATAATCCTAGAAATGACTTAATTTCTTTTGGGGTTTTTGGAATTGGGAATTTGACAATTGCTTGTATCTTGTTGGGATTTGGTTTTATACCCTCAGTTGTGATGATGTGACCGAGAAATTCAGTTTCTTTTCTCATAAACTCGCATTTATCCAACTGTAGTTTTAAGTTAGCTTCTCTAAGCTTCTTAAATACCTTTTGTAGCGACAAAATGTGTTCCTCCAATGAAGTGGAAAAAATAATAATGTCGTCTAAGTAGACCAGACAATCTTTAAAAATTAAATCTTCTAAGAGATTGTTCATACAACGTTGGAACGTTGCAGGTGCATTCTTAAGACCAAATGGCATGCGAGTGTACTCGTAATGGCCATGTTTAGTCGAAAATGCGGTCTTGGGAATTGAACCAGGATCCATTTGGATTTGGTGGAAGCCTTTGGCTAGATCAATGGTTGTGAAATATTGACATTTTCCAAGTTTGTCTAATATTTCATCCATGATCGGGATAGGGTATTTATCATTAATAGTTAGTTCATTGAGATTGCGGTAATCTATGACTAACCGGAACTTTTGCTTTCCAGATGCATCGTTTTTCTTTGGAACGATTATTACTGGTGAGCAGTAAGGGGATTTGGATTTACGTATGATATTTTGTTTTATCATATCGCTTATTTGTTTATTTACTTCCTCATCGTATATTTGAGGATATTTGTATGGACGCTTGTAAATTGGGTCCTCATGTTTTGTTAGAATTTTGTGTTTAATTGTACTAGTGAAAGTCAAATTGTCACCTTCATGGTACTGGATATCACGAAATTCATGTAAAACTTTTTTTATTTTTTCTTTTTCTTCTGAGTTTAGGTGCTCTAGCCTAAACTCATTGTTTTCTATTAATTCATTATTAATAGCGAAGTTAAATGGTCTGTCCTCTGTTGAGGGTGGATCAAGGCACTCTTGTGCGGTCATGTCCTCTTCGACCTCTTCGTCGTTATATCTAAAACAAAAGTTAAATTCTCCTAAGGTTACGGATCCTTGTGCATAGTCTATTTTTGCTTGACATGCCTCAAGGTATTCTCTCCCAATCAGAACATCATAATGCTCTGAGAAGTCGTGAATATAGAATTTTTGTTTGCTCGGACAAATTTTGCTTGCTCCTAAGCGTATACTTTGTTTTAATTCAATAACACCATTTATGGTGTGAACCTTTAATGTTTCGTTGTAAACTGGAAAATTTAAGCGGTTTGTTTTCATTAGATTTATGGTTGAACCTGTGTCGATGACACATTTTAGAACTTCGTCATTCA